CTGCAGAGCATATCTGGTTTTGATTTTGAATGGTTTAATCAAACCATCATGCAAAGATGGACCTCAAGAAGCCATCTAGTTACAGTTCAAGGCACTGTTATAAGTGTTTCAGCCCTTTTTCCTGTGATTTTTCTGTGATGCTTTTGCTCCAAGGGTGAATTTAAGGCTGCAGTAATCCCAGCTTTTACCACATCTCTTTCTCTGTCAGGCTCAATTGCTCAGTTTAACAATAACAATTGAAGGAAACTTACTGGAGCAACTTCCCTGGGTACTGTTTCACCTCAGCCTGCCTGGGAAAATGGGTGAAAACTGCTGCAGGAACTCTCTGGGTTTTCTCTTTTCCTAATTGAATGATACGCTTTCATTAGTGATGTTAGCAACATCAGAGAAAGGCAAGAATTCGGGCCTGGGTAGCTGTAATGAGGGGAGCTGGCGGAGCTGAATGGAGTGAAACAAGCGGCTTGACCGGAATGAAGTTGAAATTGTGCCCCAGAGAACCGTGACTTCCCCCAAACCCCTGTGAAAGGAAGGCCTGTGGGCCTGTGTTAGAAAATACACTTGAGCTCATCGAGTCCGACTGTTAACCCGGCGCTGCCAAGTCCATCACTAAACCATGGCCCCGAGTGCCCCATCCACATGTGGTTTAAATCCCTCCAGGGATGGGGACTCCGCCACTTCCCTGGGCAGCCTGTTCCAGTGCTGGACAACCCTTTTGGTGGAGACATTTGTTTTCTTACTGTGTAGGAACATGAAAACTCTAATGACTGGGCCTGCTTTTGTAGTAAAGGTATTTTTCTACTCCTGGGTAGTTTGGGGTCTGGCCAGGCTCTAGTAGAATGGGAGTGGTTAGGGTGTTGGTGAAGCCTGGAGAGATGGGCAGTGTGATTTCTGCTTCCATCAGCTGTGAGTGTTGAGCAAACCCCACATCTTCCTGCTGCTCTTGGAAGTCAGTGGTGTTCATCTGCCATGGGGGAGCATGTGCATAGCTGGTAGAACACAAAGGAGGCTTTCAGGCAGGCTGTGCCCCAGTGATGCAAAGTCCAACTTTTAAATACTGTTTAATTTTGAAAGCTGGAGATGAGTAATAATCCTCAAGCCTTTCCTTCAGCAGTGTGCTTCTAACTGTACGCAGCCTGGCTGCAGAACTTGTGCTTCTCTCTTAGTCATGGTGCCGGGCTCTGAAACTCCTCACCTCTTCTGTGAAGCAACTGATTCTCTTAAGACTTTGCCATTTACAGTACATTCAGATGAGATAGCTGAAATAACAGCACCATGATTGGATTCACGAGTGGCTTGGACAGCTAGAGCTGGTTTTGCTCCAAACCCCCACCTTGCTTTGGGCAATGAAGTGGCACCTGCCTGTGAGACTTTCTTCCTAGTAGGTTGCTTTTATCATCTGAATAACGTGATTCTGTCTCGCCTGTCCTTTTAATCAAAATCCCCACCAAGAAAAGCAGAATGTCTGACTTGTCAGAGAGGCAATTTGACAGCTTGATTGAACTTGCTCAGGTATTCATTAAGTGCTGCTCGAGATAGCTGGGAGAATGGAAGGGAGAGACTAACAAGGCTCTAGTTTTTAATGTGCAGAGCGTATTCTGTGCATCTCCTGGCATGAGAGGAATGCAGCTTGTTTTGGTGCACAGATGTTTCTGCAATTGCTAGAACCCAGGCAGGATACCTAGAAAGAGTCCCAGGGCTCAAAGGGCCATCACAAAACAGACCATTGCAGCTACAGTCATCAGTTTGTCTAAGATAAAACTGCCAGAAACAAAGGGCCTGAGCTTCCCTGGTTCACAGCTTGGTAAATAGTCTTTAATCCATGACTGAATTGGCGTGGCTGCATTAAAGGCAGTGTTTTCTGATGGGCTTGGAAACTGGATGCTGGAGTGAGTGCTTTGTATTTTCAATAAGCTCTGAGGATTTTTCTGTTGTAAAAGCACAGCGTATGTTACTCATTAAACCTCTTTAACTCTTGAACTCGCCTTTGCCAGCAGTTGTGCTTTCTGATTATATATTCTCTTAGGGGAATGCTTTGCTCTCCAGCACGTGGTGCTGAGGAGCCTGGATCCAGATGTGTGACAAGGACTCACGTTAACTACAATATGAATAACACAGAAGTGTGTTACAAAGAAATCAGTCTAATCCACAGCTATTTTTGTTCTTGCTGCCTGTGGCTTTGTCAACATCAGTAATGACTGTGTACAGAGCTCCACAAAACACAGGGATTTAAAGGCTGTCCCGCTGTGTCGCGTTGGGTTTCAGTGGATTCCTTAATGAACGAGTCAGGTTCTATATATGCAAAATAATGTTTGGCTTCTAATGGCCAAATTGACATTGGAACTTCAGAGCTAAGCTTTCTTTGTGCTTCCAAAGGGCAGGTTTGGTCCCAGCAGCCAGAATTCAGTTCGTAACTCCCTGACATCAGAGTCCAGCCGCATTGCTTTGCAGGGAGCAAATGTGAATGGAAATAAGAACCGCTGGTTTTCCATGTCAGCCTCAGCAAGTGTGGAGCCTGTATTTATGTAGAGCATGTGGGCAGTTTGGACGTGTAAAACTGAGCATATAGACAGGTGGTTGTAAGACCAGGGCCCTGAGCACTAAAAATAAAGAGCATGTCTGCAGAGTATCAAAGGGGATATTGTGGAGTGAGTGGACATCATCATTATGCATGTGCATGCTCTAAAATAAGCCCAGGCTTAAGAACTTGACTTCAGGTTAAAAAATGTCCTTTTAGTCATCTCTTTCTCAATCATCTTTCCAAATCGGGATTCGAACCAAAGTTACATATGGCATTCCTGAGCTCTTCAGCGTGACTTCTATTTCTGTGGGTTTATTTTTGGTCGAGAGAAATCTGATATTGTGACCTACATTTCCTGATTGGAGACAGCGAGGAATAATAACTCTACCTGTGATTTCTTTCATGCTTTTGCTGAAAGGCTTTGTTTTACAATACATTTTCCAGATACATGAGATAACAAGGTAAGGAAGTAAATGCAGATAGTAATTAGAAATACTCTCGTGTTCTTCAGGATCATTTAATGAAGTGCTCTGCTCCTGGTGCTATGAATCATCTTTGCTCTTGATCCGTATGGGATTTGTTGTACACGTGGTCTGATGTGACCAAGCTGCCAGACTTTTCAAATGCAAACATTGATGCTGTTTAGGTCATGCTTTGGTCTATCAGATGTTGCCCATCATTAGTTCTGGGTTTCATTTCATTAGCCCTACATGTCATGTAGGGACAGGACAAAGGGGAAATGGCTTTAACCTGCCAGAGGGGAGACTGAGATGAGCTCTTAGGCAGAAGCTCTTCTCTGTGAGGGTGCTGAGGCGCTGGCACAGGGTGCCCAGAGAAGCTGTGGCTGCCCCATCCCTGGCAGTGTTCAGGGGCAGGTTGGACACAGGGGCTTGGAGCAAGCTGCTCTAGGGGAAGTGGTCTCCATGGCAGGGGTTGGGACTGGAGGAGCTTTAAGGTCCCTTCAGCCTGATCCATTCCATGATTAAAACCTTGAGTTATTACTGTCTGAGCAACATCTTGCTATCTCCTCTATTCAAAACCACCCTCAGGAGTTGTAAACACATTGACATGAGTCTTCCCAGAGCTCCAGCCAGTGAGGTCTGGCATTACAGATGCCCAGGTGTGTTTGTCCTGCTTTGGATTGAGCGTGCATGGGTCACGCATAGCTTCCCCATCACAAACTGGTCATGCACGAATACAGACACGGCTGCTCCGGCTCTGCCTCAGTATCTGTGCTGCAGCCACAGGGGTTTGGGAGTGAAGTCTGGCACTGATTTCTGACAGTGATGTCCGGGGGGGGGGGGAAATAGGTCAGCAAGAATGAAAGGTGCTGACAAGCATATAATAGCTAGAGATTGTTAAAGGGGAAAAACCAGTCTGAAGACAGCTTCCCAGGTAAGCAAGCCGTGGTGCCTGTGGTTTCCCAGGCAGCCGAGGAGGGCGAAATAACAGGAAGACACGAGCAGGCTGTGGCAGAACTGGGGACCAGTTTGGGAATTTAGATTTCCTAACACTGCCTTCCTTGAAGGGACACTGGGCAAAGGGAAACGCGGCTGTGTGAGCAGGCTTGTTGCTTGGAAAACTGCTCTTTGGAGTTACACACCCCAGTTGTGAGTAGGTTGAGGATGCGGAGAGGGCACCTTTATGTGCCAGCTCCAGTTAGTTGGACTTCAGCTCTTCATTTCTGTGATTTAAGGATGAAAAGTTGCACCATAGAAAGCAGGGCTACTGGGGAGTCAGACACTGAAGTGGCAGCTTGTCTCTGAAGCATTATCTCTGCATGTATCCTCTGCAGCCGAGGTTAGGCTGGCATTGCCTTTCACGAGGCAAGTGGGAACAGGTATCACAGCAAGAAACATCTGTGCAAAGTGCCCCGATTCACCAGCTGCGAGCACGTGTGCAGTGCAGCTGTGAGGAAGAGGACTTCTGAACCACTGATGTGCTGCGCTCAGGCAAATCACTGGCGTCATCAAAACAGCCTTTATGGCACGTGTGAGGCATTGGATTGACCTCTTCCCTAGAATAAGCTCCAATTGCTCCTGGCAGGCTCTCAAGACCTGCTGCTCTCACTGTTCTTTCCATTTTCCAAGGCTGGGTTTTAAGTTTCTGCCTGACTTCTCCAGTATCTGGATGCTCAGCAGTGAGCCTGAGCAGCAGCCAAAAGCCTCACTGTAAGCAGTGGAGAAGGGCAGAGCAGGATCTGAGTCTTCTCTCCAGAAATGACGGAGATCTTGATGTAACTTGCACCCGAGTTCCTTGTGGCTGAAAAGAGTTCTTACGTAGCATCAAAGTACCCACACACACATAAACTGGCACCTTAAAGGAAGGAGATGGCACTAGAATCCTGAAAATGCTCTTCATCTGGGAGCTTTTCCTACTGAAAATGGCTCTGGAAGTAGGTGGCTCCTCCTTCCTGTACAAGCATTTTATTTCCTATTTTGACACTGACTCTGTTCTTGTTTTCAGTGTAGGAGCTGTAGCTCTTCTGCCCACTTGTAAGTGCAACTGGTATGGGTAATGGTGTGAGAGAAGGTCGAGTGGATTTCCAGCGGCAGGATGTGGAGCCGGTTCCATCAACCTTACCAGAGGTAAGGGCAGGAGGTGGTTGGGTGTGAGAGAAGAGCTGCGGGGCTGTGGTCTGAAGGGAGGACCTCAATGGGATTTGAGTCCTGAAGGAGCTGCAGTGTATGTGCAAGCCACCAAAAGTATGACTTTTGCTCTCTCTGAGCATAGCCAAGCAATTCCAGCCCTCTGGGAAGAGCTGGCAGGCAGGCAGGGCTGTGTTCATGGGTCAAGGTTATGTCTTGTTATGTCTTCAGTGGCAGAGCTGGGAAGGGAGGCATAAGCTTGGCTTTCCCTGCTCTTGGTAGACTCTAGCTAGCAACACTGGGAGAGAAGGTGACACTGAACCTTGATCTGATTTAGACTAAAACTCAGGCTGAAGTTCACACGTGCCTTTGCATAGCTGCCCTTGTGTTTAGCACCAGACAGGCAGGGATTGGAAGGGAAAATTGAACTGAACCACGTCTTTTGGTAATAAACATTAACTTTCTAGTTGTGAAGCATTCTGAAGAAAGAAAAATGTGGACTCCTCCACCCAAATACACGACCTATCACAAGTTTACATTCTTAAGTCTTGTCTCAACTTGTCTTACAGTCTCTAACCTTCATGGTGTTACATTTCAAGTGATTTACTTGCTTTCTGCCCATGTGTTAGGAGAAGAAAGCAGCTTTATCAGTATGAGCTGTGGCATGAATGTCAATAACAAACCACTGCCGTTCCATTTATCATGGTAGGAAACCTGTCTTGGTTTATTCTGAGGATCTTGAGAACAGTGTGGAAATAGGGCTTGTGTGTTAGTGGAAGGGTTGGAAAGGCGCTTTCCTTCTTTCCATGCCTAAATCATGAGGAGGTAGCAGCTTAGCTTTTGGAGACGTCAACAGGGATGTCCTGGCTTCAGCTGTACGACAATAGTACAAGAGATGACAGCCCTTGGAACGTTCCATCTCAGCAGACAGGTCCAACCTTTGTGCTTCGTGAGCTGACCAGGACTTTACTGTGCTTGAAATTTTGAAGAGACTTTGGACCCAAGCTTTTGAGAGGGGGGTAAATGCTGCAGCAGAAGTAAAATCTCACAGCTTTTGCTTAGGCTTGACTGTGTCCCACTGAACAATGCCTTGTTCCAGGAAACCCGGGAGAAAAAGAAAGTGCTCAACTCCCTGATGTCTGGTGCATTGGCTGGTGCTGTTGCTAAAACTGCAGTAGCTCCACTGGACAGGACAAAAATCATGTTTCAAGGTGAGTCCTGATGGCTTTTGCAGAATGCTCTTCCTTTATTGTTGGCAGAATCCAAAAGAGCTCCTCTGACCTGCTCAGCCTATTCCCTGGTGCTTCGCCCTCCTTCAGGCTGCAGAGACCTGGCAGGATGCAGACAGAATAGTGACATTGCCACAGTAAATTGAGTCTCAAAAGTTACTGCTTGGTTCTTGCTAGGATTATTGCAGGTGTCAGTCAGCTCTGTGTCTGGCCCATCCTACTGGATCCAAGTCTCATGGTACTCAGCAGGAGTTTTGATTTTTCAGTGTAACACAGATGCACGCGCTGCTGCTTAGTGATGGTGCCAGTGGATGTTGGCTGGTTTTGTGTTCTTCTACATCAGGGAGACTTTTGGAGCACAGAGTTTATAGACAGTGTAAAGTCAGTGCTTGAGGGGTGATTGGTAATGCTCTGGGTGTGTGTGTCTATTCAGCTTGGAGAAATAAGGTGTGGAGGGGCCAGGAGTGGTAGAAGGAGATGGGGTGACACTGGAGGGAGGTAATTGAGCTGTTTGAGTTTCTTGCTGAAGGCTGAATGCCAGGCTCTGCCTGCTCAAATGTATGCAGGATTTTCTACTAAGAGGTGCATTGGATTGCAGCTGAGTTGTTTTTGGTTAGAGGTGAACTTAATGAGGAGAAGCACTGCACAGGCATTCAGGCTGCCATACCTGGCTTTGTGTTACAAAGCCCTTTCTGGAACCTGCAAAGTGTGTCACTGCAAATGAAATGCATCTAATTGGAATAGAAAATTCTCACATGTTTCTTGGGATTTGGGATTCAGCCCCGTCATGGGCTCTGCTCAGTTCCCTGTTGCAGTGCAGGATCTGTCAGCCACACTAATTGTCCCAAAGGGAAGAGTGCAGACTGTTAATACAGTAGACACTTGGTGAAGCCAAGAATTTTAAATCTGGTTGACATCCCAGATTAAATGAATTGGGTAGGTTTTAATCTAATCCCTGGATGACATTTAATTTTGAATTGACTTTCATTTGACATGGTTTTCATCCTCCACGTAGCAGGGGCTGAGGTTTGGAATAGCAGGGATAGAGATCAGGGAGTTGAAGCTGTAGAGAGCTAAAGCCTGGGCTGGCTGCAGGCTGGGATTGCATCTGTGACCAGATGCTTGGGCAGCAGTGAGTACGTGCTGTGCTTCCTCATCAGAACAAACACTGTAGGTCATCTGAGGTTGGAAATGGATCAGAGGTGAGATGGAAGCTGCAGAACTGGGGTGAGTCAACAGCTGTCCATATAAATCACCTTTAATTTGCACAGGGCCTGCATTTATAGAAAGACCTGTTTGGTTTGGCCTGTTAACCTCGCTGCAAAGGAGAAGATTAAAATGTGCCCTGTCTGACCAATTCCTTAGCATCTAATGGGTTTCTTAGTTTCTTGCTGTCCTAAAGGATTTTATTCTGGGGCCTCTTCCCTGCCTGTGAAGTGGGAAAGCATCTTGGGCCATGTGAGTGTAGGAAGGTTGTCCCTTGAACTAGAGACTGAAGAATTCCCCTGTGGGAGAGGGAAGACAGCTCTCTTCCATTGTGGGGCCAGTTGCGATTGGTTATTGAGGTGGTGGTGTTATTAAAAACATTGAATTGCAGAAAGGAGCAGTGTGGTGAAAACGTATTTGCATGTGATGCTTGATACACTTGAGAGGTTACAAATCTCAAACGAGTTTGAAAGCATCTGCAATAGACACTTAATTGGAACCATGTTTCATTAGTGCTGCTGCTCGCGTTTTAGCCTGGGCTTCCTTCCTGCGGGAGGAGCGTTACAAAACGGAGCTGCTGGATGCCAAAGAAATGCTGCTTCCAAATGCCTGGTGTGTTACATGGCTAAAGAGACGCTGTCAGTTTGAATGGAGGCAAGAAAAGAACCCCAGTGTTGAGTTTTGCTGGGGTGAAACCATTTCTGCGTGGAGCCTCCCTAAACAGACCAGTTCTTTGCTGGATTCTGGCATTGGTCTGGAACCAGGGCATGGGAATGCTCGACTAAAAGAAATGGTCAGTGCTGCTCTGATTTTTATGTGTTATTTTCTTGATGTATTCATTTATTTTTAGTGCTTGAAGTGTGGCATAAACTGAGCATTGTCATAACAGTAGGTGGAAAAATGTATGGATGTGCTAAAGAACCGGGGAGTGCTTACCAGTGGAAAGTCATTGTTTATTCTAAAGAATCTCTATTTCCTCTTGCATTAATTCTTTTGCTTCTATTTATATGCCTTAGATAAAACGCCTGTATGGTTTATTTGATCCATCTAAATGTATTGCAAGAACTAATGCTCATTTTTTCTTTTTAGTGTCTTCAAAAAGATTTTCTGCCAAGGTGAGGTGATGTGTCTGTCTCCTGTTGACCTGAAGGGTTTGAGTAATGGTAGTAATAGCCCTAACAGCAGCTTTTGTTTGTATTTATTTCCCTTTCTTGCTTGGCTCTTAGTAGCAGCACTCACAGTGAAAGAGCACAGAGGGGGGAACTGGAAACAGTATTTGTAATAGTCCTGAGGCCATTGCTCTCTTATGTTCATGTTTAGTCCAGTGCCTCGCACAGAGGGGCCTTGGTTCCTCCTTCATGCTCCAGGTTCTACCTGTGCCTTTGGTTTGTCAGCCCTTTTCCTCTCCTGCCTGCTCTCTTTCCCCCAGCCCCCCTGGAGTTGTTGCCAAGTGTGGAGGGACTTTGAATTTAGGAGCTGATCGCTATCACGGCTTGCTGAATGTTTCATGGCATGCACGTTCCAGCTGTCCCGTGTGTGCTGTGCTCATAGGTGTAATCCAAATGGTTCTGCCTTTCACTAAGGGGATTAATTTGGGTTGAGAAGAGGTTTGCACAAGAAGCACTCCAGCTCTGTGCCTTGCCTGTGGAGAGAAAATGAAGACGTCTTGAACCTAAACCTCTTGTCTTCATGACTGGTTCTTTTTTGCTTTGATGTATCTGATGCAGTCTCCCCAGAGAAGATGTTTTAGTTGCAAACACAAACAGCTGATACCAGCTTACCGTGGTTGGGGTGGGAAGGAGGATTTGGAGAGGTTAAGCTATACGGTCACCTTTTCTTCCACTATTGTTTGGTCTCATCCTTATCATGATCTCCCTTGTCTGACCTTTGATCCATTGCCTGCAGGAAGCCTACAGGCTGATTTATCGCACCTACCTCAATGAAGGCCTCTGGAGTCTCTGGAGGGGGAACTCAGCCACCATGGTCCGTGTGATCCCTTATGCTGCCATTCAGTTCTGTGCACACGAAGAGTACAAGCAGCTCCTGGGGAGTTACTACGGCTTCCAGGGAAAGTAAGATGCAGCGTGGCTTTGATCCTGGCTGAGCAGGATGGAGCAGTCTGTGGGCCCATAGACTGGAGGGAGGGAGGGAGCACATTGCTCAGTGGCTTTGCAGAACAGGGTGTGTGTGAGGGGCCTGAGCAAAGGGCTGGGCTTCTAGTCTTGCACAGGGGAGATCTTTGTGAGAAGAAGACCCCATCTTCTAGAGGCATGAGCAAGAAGTGGCCTAGACATTGAGTTAGCACTTCCCTGTGCTGAGAGTGGGCAGACAAAACAAAAAGAGCTTTTCTTTGCAGGAGAAGCAACAAGAATTCAGCCTTGCGCTGCTGAGCCATGTGCGTGGTCTCAGTCTCTTGCTTTTGGGCATGTAATGTCTGAGACACCTCAAGTCAGGCTTTTTGTCCTCAACAAAGATATTCTGTAAGCCTCTGTCTTGCTGTCTGTGGCAAACCACAGCTGCTTCATCCCCAACCCACCCAACTCTCTTCAGTGAACAGGCAGGGAAGGGATTCGGTAGCAGGTAGAGTAGAGCCCTGCTCAAAAGCCACGTAGTATTTCCATCTCCAGGTGATCTGTTTGGTCTCTTCTCTCACCTTACTTTAGAGCGCTGACACCCTTCCCTCGATTCATTGCTGGCTCTCTGGCAGGCACAACGGCTGCCATGTTAACCTACCCTTTGGATATGGTCCGTGCTCGAATGGCTGTCACGCCGAAGGAGATGTAAGTGCCTAACGAAAGCAAGTACAAGCACCACGAACAATCGCAGCACTTTCTTTTAAGGTCAGATGACTTTATTCCCATTTTCTGGGTCACTTCTTGCTCAGAGCCTTTGGTGTAATAAACCTCTTACTGCTGGGGTCTGAGCACTGATTAAATGACCGGAGCCCTGGTTAGTCCAGGGACTGGAAGGAGATCGATACTAAAAGACCTCACAAGTAAAACCTGTGGGGGTTGTCCTTTAGGAGGCCAACTGGCACGATACCTCCAGAAGAGCTCCAACAGATAGGACAGCATGTTGTGATAGGGCAATGGGAGAGCTGGTGACAGGCTTCTCCATTTGCAGACAGGCTTCTGAAATCCCTTCTGAGCTGTTGGATGAGCTCAGAGCCCAGAATTAATTAATTATTGATCCTTCAGAAAGTCCTGTTGGAAGTGTTCCTGGTGTGTGCAGTCACTAACGAGCGCAGGTTTGCTTTTCCTGTGTCCATGTGCTAGGTACAGCAATATTGTTCATGTCTTCATCCGAATATCCCGAGAGGAAGGATTGAAGACATTGTACAGGGGATTTACACCAACCATCATTGGAGTGATTCCATATGCTGGGCTTAGCTTCTTCACCTATGAGACACTGAAGAAACTACATGCAGGTAAAGGCAACTTGCTCTGCTTTCAAATGAAATGCTGTAGGCTTTTGGCCCATTTGAGATGTTTGAATTCTGTGGTACAAGGCCTTTTCTGCCTTGAAGCCTATTGCAAAGTTCTAGAATCATAGAATAGTTTGGGTTGGAAGGGACCTTCAGAGGGCATCTAGTGCAGCCTCCCTGCAATGAGCAGGGACATCTTCAACTAGATCAGGTCGCCCAGAACAACTGTGCTCGTGGAGCTTTGTGCCTCCGTCTTTCCAGTTCCAGACTGTGAAGAAGGCAAGCTGCAGAGAAGCAGGATCTATCTTGCAGAGGAGCAAGAGGGTGCAAGTCCTGGGTGCAGAAGGACTTGGTTCCATACCAAGTCAGCTAACAGCCAGTCCCAGGAGCTCTGGCACTCAGTGCTCTCTTTGGCTCTCCACGCACTTGACCCTAACCATGTGTTTTCTTCTAAGAAGCTCTGTAAATGCTGCTCCTTTCTCTTTCCCAGATCACAGTGGGAAGTTGCAGCCATCGCCCCCGGAGCGCCTCTTGTTTGGTGCCTGTGCAGGTTTGATTGGCCAGTCAGCATCTTACCCCCTGGACGTGGTTCGCCGGCGGATGCAGACGGCGGGGGTCATGGGACACACGTACAGTTCCATCCTTCTCACCATGCAGGAGATTATAAGAGAAGAGGGACTAATCCGTGGCTTGTACAAAGGACTCAGCATGAACTGGGTCAAAGGTCCAATTGCAGTGGGAATAAGCTTCACAACCTTTGACCTGATGCAGATCCTTCTCCGTAAATTACAGCACGGCTCTAATGTTGAAAGGTAGTAGCTTAATCCCCACAGCCCTTGCTGGGGAAAAGTACAGCACGTGTAGAAAGAGCAATGCTAGCCTTCCCTCACCTCATACCTGCTCTCCTGCAGCTGAGAACTCACCTTTACTTGTTTGTTATTTTCTGTTGTTGGATTTTCTTCTTTTTAATGAGCCTCTGAGTTACTTGGAAACCTCAACCTGAAACTAATGCTTTCCTAAGCAAACTTCTTCCTCGAATTCTGCAGCACCGAGTCCTCTGCAGTAGCTGCCTCACCCTTCTGGTTCACTCTGTGATACCAGGAGTGGAGCCTCTCAAACAAAACCGTGCTGCTGCTGGCTCCTCACCTGGGTCTCTGTGGGCAGATGAAGCGGTGCATGATGAAAGAGAGGACTCGGTGCTGGTGGAATGAAGCCCTGAATCTGGGAAGTGACTGCTCTTCCCAGTAGGCAGTTCTTAGTTATTGAACATGTGCTAGCTGGTGGCAGTCTGCCAAGTGCAATATTCCAGCTCGTTTGTAGGGAATTCCAGATTCCTCTGACCTGTAAACATGAGTCTCCATAAAACAGGACAGAGCAGGATTTAACAGGTCCAGGTCACGTCCAGAACATAAGAAGTTCAGTGTGGGCTCTGGCTGGAAACACTATCCTTTTTCAAACGTTCTCATTTCTGAGTTGAGTTGCATAAAATATCCCTTGCTCCAGCATCCCTCTGAGATTACCAAAGACAGAGGCCAGCAGGAGAGGGAAATTCTGAGCAGTTTTGGAAATCAAATCCTCATGTTTGTCAGTGTTGAGGAGGGGCTGTGCCTGGATTCACAGACTGGATTGAATTGACCTGCAGTAGTGCTTTCAGGCTCCCCAAGCCTTTCTGTTGTGGTTATGGTCTTAAAGGCAGCGTTTTCTGAGGGATTTGGCAAACTGTAATGTTGATGCACTAGAAAAGGAAGTGTTACAGACTTGAAATTTCAGCAGTTTTATCCTGCAGTATTATTGCTGCTGCTTTATGCAAGAACAAACGTCAGGGAGATGCAGATCCAGCGATCCTGAGAGGCTCTTCACGTCCGGTGAACGTGGCCTGGCAGTTGGCTCTAGCTGCTGGTCCTGCTTTGGAACAACTCTGTTGTCTTATGGTGCCTGCTGTGTAGGTTGTGTCCCCTCTGTTCATTAGTCCATGCCTAAGCCCACTTGTTTTTATTCCTAGGGTTCTTCTGGACCAACTGGGTCCTTGAGAGCATGGGAGTACCCAAGCCAGTATTGACCCTTCAGAAATGATAACCTAGTGCCAATCATTTCCAGCTGCAATCTGAAAATGAATGGTAAAGAACCTTCCAGTGTTTCTATTTGAGATCAGTTTTCAGGGAAATGGAGATTTTTGGGGGTGGTTTTGGTTTATGTTCCATTCCTAGGTGAAATATGGAGTGTAACAAAGGTCACAGCAAACTTCAGACCTCTCTGAGAATCAGATGACATAAGCTAAGATTAAAAATCCCTTTCCAGCTGACACAGCCCACAATGTATTAAAGAAAACTAAGGTGTCATTTAAAAGCTGTCCTTTTCTGGTGTATTTTAGCTGTTGTAGTTTGAGCCTTGTGTCTTTATTAATGGGACTGGAGGTAATTGCACAATTGGTAGAAGTAGCTTTCTCCTTCCTTTTGCATTTGCACTTGTTCTTTGGAGCATAACTTGCTTCTAATGCCAAATATTTCCCCAGGAATCGAGCACCTACGCTTCCAGTTTGTGGACGTGGCAGAAAACCAGTGTACTGAGGTATTAGCATGTGTGGTGTTCCCAGAACACGTGGGATCAATCATGCTTTAATGCTCACGGATAAGCAGGGTATTAACCTCAGTGATTTCTGCCTCCTAGCCCACAAATGATGATTGCTGTTGTGAAACTGCAGTCACTGATTTACCTTGTGATTAATGTCAGGTGTTGCTGTTTTCAGAGTCTTTAGAGCCAATGGCCATGAAATCTGAACAGTTTTTGCTCCCATTGCTAGGGGAAGATGATCAGCTGTTCTCTTTGGGTGAAGTTTTGTTTAGTCCTATGCAAGAGCTCTGATTTCTTTTCTCCAATGGAGAAGCCAATTACTTCTGCTCTTGTGTTTATCTTGTCTGGCCCAGTGAGGAAATCCTGAGGCAGTTGTATCCTACCACAGAAGGGAGGTACAGACCAGCACCCGGGTGTGCCAGCGGTTGACTCTGCGTGTGTATGTGGCTGACTGTGTGCACAATCTGTGCCAAGCTCTCTCTCAGCTTGGAGGCTGCTGGTTCAAAGCACAGTCCTTCCTGCCCAGCTGATGGGTACTGTATGAAGACAAGAGGAAGGTGAACTGTGGCATCCGAGCTGGAGTGAGCTCCTTTGCTCCACAGTATGGTAGGTCATCTCAGAGGCAAGTGCAGCAGTGCTTGTTGTAGGAGATGATGAGCATCGCTGAACCTCTGTGGCAACAGAGGTGGCTTAATTCCTCCTGGGTCCTGGCAGAGCAAGGATTTACACTGGATGACTTGCCTCTTGTTTGGGACTGAACGGGAGGGCAGATCTGCACGAGGTACCTTCTGCTGTGTCAGGAGTACAGGAACAGGGGCCTGTGGAGGAGGCAGCTTCTGCTGAGCCCAGCATCGCCCACCATGGTGCAGGCAGCTCATCGAGAGCATGGGGACTCTCAGCTGAGAAACAAGACCTGAAGCACAGCCAGGCTTGAAGCGTTGGGCTCAGTTGTTCCTGAATGAACCCCTGGTTTTAATTCAGTGGAGTCGTAGCCAAACACGTTTGCCCAAGTTCTGCAGGCTGAGGGGTGGTTCAGAGGCACATCTCTGAATTCGGTCTGTGCTGGGTTTGGTGCTTTTGTTTCTTGGGGGAGGAGTGTTCAGAGTAACTGTGTGTTATTGCATTGAGTTCTTTCAAATAGCGTTGGGTTTGGTTTTACTTTTATGTTCCCTCTCTGATTTGAATGTAGGAAAGGAGAAACAGTGTTCCCTTCCCCTCTCCTAATCCCTGCATGAATTGAGACATGTTCCAGATCTCTCCGGGGCCTCAGTGAGGGCCCGAGGAGTTTTGGGCATGCTGATTTGGAAAGGAGGTGGGAGGGGAGGGTGGGTGCTGGCCAGAAAGATCCGTTGCCTTTAGCTCTGAGAGAGGTCTAACAGGAATATTCTCTAGTTGTTCTCTTTAGAACTTCTTTATTACCACAAATTCTCTAATGTTTCATTTTATTCTTCTCGAGTACCTTGCTTTTATTTCCAAGTCATGTTTCTCTTTGTTCCTTAATGTGTTACTGCCAAACATTAACTTGTGCATTTATTGTTCCCCCTCTGCTCTCCCTCCCTCCCTGCTTCTGCACCTTTAGTCCCGCACGAGCACTTGGGAGAAAATCAGGTCCAATGAAATGCACCCAAAATGACAAATTGCAGCTTTGGTAAAGATGCCCAAACAGCCCAGCTCAGCTTCCCCCTCACAGGCAAGGGGTGCTTGCCTGTGGAGACAAGAAGTCAAAGGCACAAAGTGATGGGGCAGAAGGTTTTGTTTGAAAGGATCTCGAGCGCCTTGTCCAGTCCCAGCGCCTTCGCTTTCCCTCCACGAGCTGTGAAATGCTGCTGCCCCTTCGCATTCCCTCTCTCGGTACCTCCAGTGATGCCCTCGTGCTCTGTGGAAGTGGCTGCTTGCTGTGTACGAGGCTTGGGGAGAGCTCATCCTTCTGGGGGGCTCCAGGGGTCCCTTGGGGAACTTGGATGAGTGAGAGGTGGGATCTGAGCTGGCTTCTTGCGAGCCTGCTTGCCTTGTGCAGACCCCTGCCAGCGTCCCAGGAAGCCAGAGCTGCCCATGAGCTGGCTGCTGGTTGGCAGGATGGAGAGAGGAATTGCAGCCTCCTGGGGCATAAAGTCACTGGGAGCCATGAGCTGGGTTGTGTGGCGGAGCTTTGGTACGCTGGGGGAGCTCTCCAAAAGCAGCTTCAGAGCTTCTGTGTTAAGACAATGGTACTTTGTGAACTTCCTGCCACCTCCTGCCTAGAAGGACTGCAGTCTTCACCCTTTAGTGTCTTTAACACAGGAGCAGATGAGGCATGAAACAAAGCTTGAGCACTGTGGCAACCCCAAGTGAGTCTGGTGCCAGCCTTGGGCGGGCAGGAGGAGGGGGGAATGCAGTGGGACACTTCCCACATCAGTTCCTCAGTGCCTGGCTGGGTCCTTGAGCCCTGCAGGGAGCCAGGACGTATGTTATGGACCCTCCTTACCTGGCTTGGTAAACCCAGCTTCCTACAGAACAGCTGGGTTTCTTCTTGTAGGGGCTGATTCCTCCCGTTCTCCCCATGTGAGGCAGGTTTCCCAGCACTGCTCACTGTGTGGTCTATGCATATATCAGCACAAACACTCTTCGTTTGCCTTTTGTCCTTGCCATCCCTGCGTGTGTGTGAGCGTGTGGGTCGATTTTGACTGCTTTTTCTTGGATCTGGAGTTCTATTTTATTGCAGTGAAGACACTTTGTTATATGATGTTTATATATTTGAAGATTTGTGCCAACAGAGGATGTATATTTAATAAAAAATATATCATTGACTTGGCGGGCTCCTGGGGGATATCTCTCTCCTATTGCGCGTTGCTGGTGCGAGAGATGGGGCTGGCACATCAGGGTGGATTTGAGGGACTAAAGCGAGGGGTGGCTGGGGCGAACGGAGGAGCTCCCCCCCACGCATGGAGCTGGTCGCTGCTTTGGGAAGTGGGGAGCAGCTTGAGGCAGGGGCAGGAGCGCCGGAGGGGGCTCAGGCGCTGTCCCTGCAGCGTGGGATGGGGACGGGTGCGCAGTGGCAGCAGGTGGCACTGTCGGCTCAGCCATGGCCCGGTGCCTGGCCCCAAGTGGGGGACCCCCCCCAACCCCCAGCTCGGCTCTTGGGGCTTCCCGCTGCGTTTCGTGTCCGGTGTGGATGTGATGCTGCGGGGATGGAAGGTCCCAGCCCCCCCGCAGGAACCTCCCCGCAGCCTCCCAGGGCAGAGCACTGCAAAACCCCAGCCTGGGTTGGGTTGGAAGGGACCTTAAAGCTCCTCCAGCTCCAACCCCTGCCATGGGGACCCCTTCCCCTCGAGCAGCTTGCTCCAAGCCCCTGTGTCCAACCCGGCCTTGAACACTGCCAGGGATGGGGCAGCCACAGCTTCTCTGGGCACCCTGTGCCAGCGCCTCAGCACCCTCACAGGGAAGAGCTCCTGCCTCAGAGCTCATCTCAGTCTCCCCTCGGGCAGGTTAAAGTCAGTTTAAAGCCAGATGTCTCTTGCTGCCCCACGCAGGAAGCGCTCTGCAGGATGCAGGCAGTGAGGGGGCCAAGGGCATCTCCTTTGAGGTGGAGGTCTCGCTGCTTCCCTCCCTGCCCGGGCACAAAGGAAGAGCTCTGGGAGCTTTCCCAGCCCTGGGGCTCTCACCTCGTGCAGGAGCCAAAGGCGGAGATGCCGCAGGGTGCTGCAGGGCCGGGCGTGGGGCACCACAAGAAACCCTGGGGCCCATCCAAATCCTGGTGCAAGGGCTCTGTAGCAGCACAGCCTCGTGGTTGTGGCTCTGCTGGAGCCGGAGCGTGGCCGTTTGCAGGGCTCAACCTGCCCCGTGTTCTAAATAAAGCAAAGATGCAAAGAGCAAAAATAGCCCGGGGTGGGGGGGAGCCTTTCCCTGCGGTTGATGTGGCCCCACTGCAGTGCCTGTGGCTCTGTCTCCTGCTCTTGCCCAGTCTATCAGTCATTGTCCCTGCCTGAGAGGGTCACGTCTGGGCAGGTCCCTGGGGAGGAACTGTCTGCGTGTCTGCATGCAGCACAACCCCAGGCCCTAGCAACCGCCCTGCTGCTCTGCCCGGCCACATGCTGAAGGAGGATGAGATAAATGAGCCATCAAGGCGGTGGGGCCGGCTTTAATGGGACACCGTGGGCTGGAGCCAGTCCCCTTCATCCCAGCCCTGGGGCAGTCGCTTCTTCCTTGCACCTTTCCACCCTGACAGTGCTGCTGGAGCCACATTCCTGCTGGCCCCGTGCTGCTCAGTGGTGCTGCTCAATGGTGCTGCTGCTGCTCTGGGCTCCAGCTGGTGGCAAAAAGGGATTTTCCCCATCGTTTTTTGCCAAGAAAGGGCTTTTACTGGGTCTACATCTCGGAACTCGGGAAGCAGGCAGAGGAGGTGGTGGGATTAGTCCTGTTAACACCGGGCAGAGGGCTGCCTTCTCACCCCAGCCCTTAGCAAAAGGGAATTAAGGCCATTACAAGGCTATCAAATAGGATCAGAGCCCCTCTCCCTTTCTCTGAGCAGCCCAGACCTGTTAATCCCTTTTCATGCAGCTGGACCTGCACCCACGGAGCGGTGGGGAAGCCGCAACAGGCACGGAGCTGGGCTGCGATGAGGTGGGCTGCAGGGTTTGGTCAAAACCTCGACCTCTTCCCCTCGCTGCAGTAACACATTTGGGGTGCTCCTGCTCACCCACCCAAAGGCCCTCGCACCGTGGGACCCCTGCCCTGCTCGAGGGGCTCAGGGCTGCAAAGTGCCAACAAAGCAGCAGATTTTAGACGGGCAAAGAAGT